TCGGCGAGCAGCTGTGCAAATAGTGCAACGCTCTCGCAGCGTCGCGCAACACGCGGAGCCGTGCGGCGGAGGAGAGCGGCGGAGGCGCCGTCTCGAAGCCGAGCATGCCGAGCCGCTGCAGCGCGGCTGGCGTGCGGTAGAGGCGGTCCTCGAGGCTGCCGCCGCGGCAGAGGGGGTAGACGAGGCACGCTCTCGCCGGCGCCAGGCAAGCGCCGAGCAGAGGGAGCAAGGACGGGTGGCACGCCGCGCTGAGCGTGCGCACCTCGCTCTGCAGCTCGGCGAGGCCTTGGGCGCCGACACCGACCAGCGCCGTCTTGACGGCGAACCCGCAAGCGACGCGCGGAAGCGACGGCAGCGCGTCGGCGCGGTAGACGCGCCCGAAGCCTCCCTCGCCCACCTTGCGCGCCTCGGCAAAGCGGTCCGTCGCCATGATTAGCTCGTCGAGAGGGACGGCGGCGGGCGGCGCGGCGGCGGCGGCGAGGGCGGCGACACTGGCAGGAGCCGCCGCCTCTGCTGCCTCCGCCGCCGCCGCTGCCTCCGCTGCCGCCTCCGCTGCCGCCGCCTCTTGAGCCTCCGCCGCCGCCACGGCCGCCACTGCCGCCTCCATAGCCGCCGCCTCCGCCGCTACCTCCACCGCCTCCGCCTCCGCCTCCGCCCTCTGCCTCGCCTCCTCCCCCTCCCTTGCCGCCTCCTCCCTTGCCCTCGCCTCTGCCTCCTCCCTTGCGCGCGACGCCGCCTCCGCCTCCTCCGCCGCCCGCGCCGCCGCATCCTCTGCTACCAACCGATCCGCTTCCTCCGCCACTCGCGCCTCCTCCGCCGCCCGCGCCTCCTCCGCCTGCTCCGCCGCCCGCTCCGCCGCCCGCGCTGCCGCCGCCGCCGCCTTCTCCTCCTTCTGCCGCTGCCGCTTTAGCGCCCTGGCCTCGCGGACCTTTCGCTCCGCCAACTCGTCGCGCAGCCGCCACGCCGCCCGCAACGCCTCCGAGCCGTCGGCGGCCTGGGTGGTGTTCGCGTTGATCGCCGCCCTGAGCGCCTCGAGATCGGCGTCGCCTCGCTCGCACGCCTCAACCGCCTCGCGCAGCGCAGCCTCGGCAGCATCGCGCGCCTCCGCCGCCTCCGCTGCCGCTGCCGCATCGCGTGCGGCCGCCGCGGCCTGTTCGGCTGATTCTGCGACCGCCCTCTCCCCCCTCGCCTCTGCTGCGGTCGACGAGTGCTCCTCGAAGGCGCGCACGCACTCGGCGTGGCCCTCTTCCTTGGCCCATTGAAGCGCCGTCTCGCCGCTCGCACTGCGCGCCGCAGTGTCAGCGCCCGCCCGCAGCAAGCGCCGCACGACGGCGGGGCGGTTCAAGAGGGCAGCGGCTATCAGCGCGGTGACGCCCTTGCTGTTCTGCAGGTTGATCTCAGCGCCGTGCCGTATCAGCAAATTGACCACCTGCTCGCGGCCTTCCTGGGCGGCGTACATCAGCGCGGTGTTGCCCTTACTGTTCTGCAAATTGATCTCCGCGCCGTGCTGCAGCAGCAGCTCGACCACCCGCTCGTGACCTTCCTGGGCGGCGCCCATCAGCGCGGTGTAGCCGTTGCTGTTCTGCACGTTGATCTCCGCGCCGTACCGCAGCAGCAACTCGACCACCTGCTCGTGGCCGTACACGGCGGCGCCCATCAGCAGCGTGATGCCGCTCACCTTGCCTCTCTTGTACGTCGCGTTGGCCCGCCCGCCGCCCTCGAGCCACGCCAGCACCGCCTCCTCCTCGCCACGCTCAGCCGCCACGATGACCTCATCGGGGGCTGCCACGCCACCCCTCGACACCGCTGGCGACAGATTACCCGGCCGCACCCGCACGCTCTCGCCGCCGCCCTCGAGCGCCACCGCGTACCGCCCGCCCTCGAAGCTCCGAGCCACGCCCCGCTGCCCGTTTAGCTCGGGGCGGGCCGAGAGCCCGCCGAGCACGACTCGCTGTCGGAGCAGCGGCGCGTCCACAGCTGCCGCTGCCGCGCCCGAGGAAGCGCCGCCCGCACCTGCTCGGCCCTCCGCCACCGCCTCGGCCTCAGCCAAGATCTTGACGCACTCGGCGTGGCCCTCCTCCTTGGCCAGCTGCAGCGCCGTCATGCCGCTCGCACTGCGCGCCGCAGCATCTGCGCCCGCCCGCAGCAAGCGCCGCACGACGGCGGGGTGGTTGAAGAGGGCGGCAAACATCAGCGCGGTGCAGCCGTTGCTGTCCTGCAGGTCGATCTCCGCGCCGTACCGCAGCAACATCTCGATCACCCGCTCGTGGCCGTGGCTGGCGGCGTACATCAGTGCGGTGCCGCCGTCGCTGCTCTGCTGGTTGATCTCCGCGCCGTGCCGCAGCAACATCTCGACCACCCGCTCGTGGCCGTTGCCGGCGGCGCCCATCAGCTCGGTGAAGCCGTCGCTCCTCTGCAGGCCGATCTCCGCGCCGTACCGCAGCAGCAAGTCGACCACCCGCTCGTGGCCGTGGTAGGCGGCGCCCATCAGCAGCGTGAGGCCACTCACCTCGCCTCTCTCGTACGTCGCGTCGGCCCGCCCACCGCCGTCAAGCCACTCCAGCACCGCCTGCTCGTCGCCTCGCCCAACCGCTGCCACGACCTCGTCGGAGATTGCCACGACAAGAGAAGCGCCGCCTGCGCCTGCGCCGCCGGCTGCCGCCGCCGTGGGCCGCCCCGCCACCACCTCCTGGACGTGCTTCTTGAAGGCCTCGACGCACTCGGTGTTGCCCTTCTCCTTGGCCCACTGCAGCGCCGTCCTGCCGCTCACACTGCGCGCCGCATCTGCGCCCGCCCGCAGCAAGCGCCGCACGGCGGCGGGGCGGTTCGATAGAGCGGCGTTCATCAGCGCGGTGATGCCGTCGCTGTCCCGCATGTTGACATCCGCGCCGTGCTGGATCAGCAAGTCGACCACCTGCTCGTTACCTTGGTTGGCGGCGTATATCAGTGCGGTGCCGCCGTCGCTGCTCTGCTGGTTGATCTCCGCGCCGTGCCGCAGCAACATCTCGACCACCCGCTCGTGGCCGTTGGCGGCGGCGCCCATCAGCAGCGTGAGGCCACTCGCCTCGCCTATGTCGTACGTAACGTCGACCCGCCCGCCTCCGTCAAGCCACGCCAGCACCGCCTCCTCCTCGCCTTGATGAGCCGCTAGCATCGCTCGCTCAGCAGCTCTCACGACCGCATCGGGGGCTGCCACGACACCGCTCGACGCCCGCTCCGCCGCTGCCGTCGGCGACAGATTACCCGGCCGCACCCGCACGCTCTCGCCGCCGCCCTCGAGCGCCACCGCGTACCGCCCGCCCTCGAAGCTCCGCGCCACGCCCCGCTGCCCGTTCAGCTCGGGGCGGGAGGAGAGCCCGCCGAGCACGACTCGCTGGCCAAGCAGCGGCGCGGGTTCGCTCGACTCGCGTGCACTTGCCATCGCCACGCGGAGCCGGTTCTGCGCGGGAGCTGTTGGCGGAAAAAAATTTTTTTTCGGGCGGCGCGGGAGCTGATCCGCACGGTGGAGGAGGCGGGGAAGGTGCTGGAATGGGACTGGGGGAGTGAGCGGCTCGCGGTTGCCGAGTCGTGCCTGCCGCAGTCCCTTTGATGGGAGGCCGAGGGCCCAACTTCAGAATCGTGCTTTTTTGGGTTAGGGACGAGCGCGAAGGACCGATTGCGGTGAAGGACCGCAGGTTAGGGACCGATCGCCGCCGCTCACGCCAGCGGACGGTCTTCGTCAGTGATGTTAGCTACGCCACCGTCTACCTCGTGCGCAATGCGCTCGCCGGCATCGAGCGAGCAACGTGTTCGACCGAGCGGCTTGCTGTGCGGACGGCTTCTTGTGGCTCTCGTCGAGAGCGTTTTGCGGCCCGGCGGGTGGGAGAGCATGTGTCGTCTGATGTGTCACTGTGTACGTCATATCAGTCTTGATAACAAGTACGGTCGATCCGTCAAAGCGATACACTCGTCACGATCACGTTGGACGGCTTGCACAGAGCTCTGTGCCGGCACGCATCAGGAAGACCGCCGTACGGCAAGAAGAGCTCGATGGGGAGCGAGAACCGTCAGAGGTGCTCACGGAGGTTTCGGAAGTCCGCCATGGTGCGGTCAGTTCCCCCCAGGTTTGACTGCGTAGGTCGCGGAACTCGTTGAGTACTCGCAGCCTTTCTGCGCCTCCGTCTGGGCATCGGCTGCTCGGCAAGAGCAGTCTTTCCGGAAGATATCGACGGTTTTCGAGAGCCACCCGCTTGGGAGCGATTGAGCGCGTCACGGAGGACTTCAGGTTACCCTTGAAGCTCCTCTGACGGTTCTCGCTCCCCATCGAGCTCTTCTTGCCGTACGGCTCGGTTCCTGTTGCTGGCACAGAGCTCCCGTGCCAGCCGTCCAACGTGATAGGAACGAGTGTATCGCTTCGACGGATCGACCGTGCTTATTATCAAGACCGATGTGACGTACACAGTGACACATCAGACGACACATATTCTCCCACCCGCCGGGTCGCAAAACGCTCTCGACGAGAGCCACAAGAAGCCGTCCGCACAGCAAGCCGCTCCTCGGACAGGCGAGCTCGCTCGATGTCGGCGAGCGCATTGCGCACGCTTTGAACGGTGGCGAAGCCAAAAACACCGATGGTGGCCGTCCGCCGGCGTATGCGGCGGCGATCGGTCCCTAACCATTCGCCCGCGGTCCCTAACCCAAAAGTGGTCCGCTGCGCTTTGGTCCCTAACCAAAAAAGCACGATTCTGAAGTTGGGCCCTCAGGCCCCAGGGTGGGGGCCACCTCGAACCCCCGGCCAGGGATTCGAGCGGAGGGTGCCCCGGATTCATCTATCCGTTGGGCCCCGGCACCTATTTTAGAACTGATCACTTTGCGCAGCAACCGTCGGCCGCCGCTTTTTAGCTGGACGGCGGTACGCTGCGCCGTCGCTCTGTCGACTGTCGTGCACGCTCTCGTGCCTCGTTGTTGTGACACGGGAGTAGAGTCGAGAGGTAGCCCTCGACGAGACGACCGGCGCTGCGATGCCAGACCTCACTGCCGCCGAGCTCAGCATTCCGGCCGAGCAGCACCCCGATCCCCGCTCAACAGTGGTAGGCTCTACCCTGCGCTTCATTCCGTGGTCTGTGGTGGGCAATCCGGCCTTCCTCAATCTGCCCCCTCCTCCTCCGGGGATGCAACCGTCATGGGTCCAGATTCCGCAGTGGGTCGCCATCAGTGCGCTGCTCCCCTTCAGTGAGCCCGAGCCCGCTGTGGCCACCCACTTTGACAGGCTCAGCGTCTTGCGGCTGGCCGTATTGGCCGCGGCTTGGCGCCGCATCCTCGGTGCCTTGTCCGACCTCGGCGTCTTCAGCACGGTGCACGTGGATGAGGATGCGTTCCGTACGGTGTGCATCCAGGCTCTGCACTCCCGCCAAATCCCGGTGCCCGAGCTCTATCTGCAGTGGGGCGATTTGGGGTACTCTGAGGCGATCGTACCCTTGGGACCAGCGCCATCTGCAGAAGCAAAGGCCGTCGACTTCTTGCAGTACGCGACAGTCGGGGCTCTTTGCGACCCTACGGCCGACGTCCCGTTCGCAGCCCTGTCTGACATGACCCGCTGCTTGGGGCCCGTCTTCACGGCGGCAGCGCGCGTCGATCCCATGGGGAGCGCCGTCGTGGGGGCTGCATCGCTCGCCGCCGCCGCTGGTCACATCACTCCGCGAGCGAGCGATGGGCATCCCGCCCTGCTTGCTCGGCATGTGCTCAGCATGCTGAAGACTACCCGCTCGAGTTTCCCGGCCTACCTGAGGACCAACTCTTTTCAGAACTACTCTGCGGAGGTTGAGACTCGCGCCGAGTATGTGGGCGGGACCACCGTGGCGCGCGACCGAGTGGCCGAGCAGCGTTGCTCGCGCGCTATTGCAGCCAAGGCGCCGACGCTCGACTCCCTGCTCCGTGCGCTGCCTCGGCCAACGCCCCCGTCGGTCGTTTATGAAGCCTACCGGCAGCTCGTCTCGCTCTACTTTCCGACGGATCGGCGCCCTATGGACCTGCTCCTGACTGATCTGGATGCTCAGCTTCACGCGCGGCTACCCACGTTCTCGACGCGGCGGGGATCGTCGTCATCGACCCTTCGCAAGTGACGTTGGCGCCGCCCGACGCGCAGCGAGCCGGCGCGGCGGCGCCGTCGACGCCGACGGACTAGTACAGCGCTTGCCCAGCCCTTGCCCGCACGAAATTCAACCTAACTAAACTCAGCCACTTGCTGCTAACCTACATCGCCTGTTCTCAACAGACGCTCGGGCGCGCCACCACGGCCGGCTCCGCGCCAAACCCGGGCAACCTGTACGGCATCCAGCTCGGGCACGCCATCGCGGCCTGGCTCCGCGCCAAACCCGGGCAACCTGTACGGCATCCACCTCGAGCGCCTCGCCGGCCTCTCCCCCCGCAGACCGTCCTCAGTGGGGAGCGGCGAGGGCCCCGCCGGAGCCCGTGGCGGGAGGACCTCGTCGTCGCACCGGCGGCCGCTCGGCCTGAGCTGTGACCCTTGGGACCAGCCCCCGAGTGGATCAATGGACACCTCCATGCGGTGGTCGCCGTCCTTGTCAGCCGTCCTGAGCGGAGGCAAGGTTTGTTCGATCCAGGACCTCTTCCCCCGCAGACCGCCCTCAGTGGGGAGAGGTGGGGCCCTTCCTCCCGCAGATCGCCCTCAGCGAGGAGGGGCGATCCCATCAGGAGGTCGTTCCGTGCGACTCGGCTCCCCCCCCGCAGACCGCCCTCAGTGGGGAGCCCTCCTTTTCCTGGGCGCACATGGTGGTGGCGGCGACGATACTCCAAACCGGCGAAGGCATGGGCAGCTCAAGGAGGCGACCGCTGGCCCTCTCCTGTCGGACTGATGGCCCGAAACAACTACCAAGACTTTGTCGAGCTCAACGTCTCTACCTGTGGCGCGACCGACGCAACTGCGGAGGTGTTAACTGCTGTCGGCAACAGCCAGCCGGAGGGCAACCTCGTTAGGAGGCTAGAGATCTCCCTCATCCGGAGGGAGGATCGCCCTGCCACAGCTACGCGAGCGACGCCAGCTTGCGAGACGTTCAATTCGAGCATTCGGGCCGCGCGACCTATGGAGACGCAGCCAGAGGCAAGCGTGGGCGCTGCCCAAGCGGATCGCCGGCAACTAGTGCCGCCCGCGCCTGGCGCGACCGCCTTCAAGCGCGGGCGGCCCGTGACTTTGCTCCATCAAACGGGACAAGGCAAAAACACAGTTGCACAGATACATGCCGGCGGCGCGACTCCCCCCCGCAGATCGCCCTCAGTGGGGGAGACCGCGACACCGGTGACGGAGCGCAGTTGGGAGTGTCTTCGGCTCACGCCAGGGCGCTCGTTGCTCCTCCGTCTCTTTGTATCTTCCATACTGCATTTATCAGAAGACGTATGGTTCTTGCACTTGTGCAAGATTGGGCGTCTTCTGCCGCAGTCCCTTTGATGGGAGGCCCCAGGGTGGGGGCCACCTCGAACCCCCGGCCAGGGATTCGAGCGGAGGGTGCCCCGGATTCATCTATCCGTTGGGCCCCGGCACCTATTTTAGAACTGATCACTTTGCGCAGCAACCGTCGGCCGCCGCTTTTTAGCTGGACGGCGGTACGCTGCGCCGTCGCTCTGTCGTGCACGCTCTCGTGCCTCGTTGTTGTGACCCACCCTGTCCCACCCGTGTGTGATCAGTGTCTACGGAGGGAGTGTCTTCGGCTCACGCCAGGGCGCTCGTTGCTCCTCCGTCTCTTTGTATCTTCCATACTGCATTTATCAGAAGACGTGCCTGCCATCCCGTGTCGCGGAAGGGAGCCGGCTCGGGTTCGGGTTCTGAGGCTGCCCATGCTCGGTGGATCTCTCTTGTTCTCCCCGACATGCCAGTTCAGAGTGTCCCTTGTAATGCGGCAGATTTGTTTTCTCGAATTCTCTCGGCGCGCAGCCAACCACGACTCAGTCGGCAGGTCGGCAGGTCAGCGCTTCCGAAACCGTTCCAGCAGGAGGCTGCGCTTCGCAATGAGCCGCCTCATCCGCTCCTTCACCGACTTGCGCGCCCGCAATAACGCCGGCGAGGACGTCGACTTTGGCGCCTTTGCAGACAAGGTAGTCCTCGTCGTCAATGTAGCGAGGCACTGAGACACGAGGGAGGTGCCGGGCCTCGTCGGGCTGGGAAGCAAGTACTTTGAGAAGGGCCTGCGCGTGCTCTTCTTTCCGTGCAACCAGGCACAGTCCAGTTCCAGTCTACCCACCACCACTGTTGCGACGCCTCGCCCTCCCCGGGCCCATCCCACCCACCGCGGTCTACCCACCGCCGCCTCGCCCTGCCCGCCCCAGTTTGCCTCCGAGGAGCCCGGCACCGCGGCCGACATCAAGGCCTTCTACGTCGACGCCCACAAGTTGCCGGCGGCGTCGCTCATGGAGAGAGTCGATGTGAACGGCGCGAACACGCACGAGGTCTACAAGTTCCTGAAGGGCACACCCGAACTTGGTGAGAAAATCGAGTGGAACTTCACCAAGTTCGTCGTCGGGCGTGACGGACAGGTTCTGGGACGGTATCCCCAGCGGACGAAGCCAAAGGACTTTGACAAGATGTTTGCCGAGATGTTTGCGCAGGCGGAGAGCTGATGTGTCCGAACTGTCTCTGAGCGCGGCGGGCAGTGGTCACACACAGGTGACGCATGACGGGCTCGCGGAACAGGCCCATCTTGGAGCCACCGCGAGCGCTGAAGACCTGCACCTGTGTGGGAGCTATTGGTCGCCGGCTCTGTCCTGCTCTCTTTTGGTGAGAAATCGCGTGTGTGACACACGAGTGTGCGCGTGACGCGTGCTGGACGCGTGTCGTGTGTGTGTGTGCGTGGTGTGCGTCTCCCTGTGTGACTGTGTGCACGTGGAAGAGCGCCCACCAATAAATACACGAGCGAAACAGTGCTATGAAAAGGCACACCTATGGGACGACATCAGTACACGGCCGTGGGCAGATGACTGCTTCGCGGCGCCGGCCACCGCGCTCGCACTGCGCGGCGGACCCCAGCTTCCGAGAGCGCGCCCCTCTCAACGCGCGCTCGCATGCGCGCGCCCCACCCGTGTCCATGTCGCAAAACGCACGCCCGCACACCCCATGCGCTAGCCTCGCCCTCCCACAGTTTCCCGCCTCTAGTACGCATCTCATGCCTCCGCATGCGAGCTCCTGCTGTCGGCTACCGCCGCTTCGCGGCTCTGCCCTGCTGCTGCTGCTGATGATGATTTTCGGAGGAGAGGAGCGCGTCGATCGGCGGCCTGCGGGTTGGAGACAGAAAGCTGGAGCCGAGAGACGCGGGGCGATGGGAGACGGGGTTCGCAGCGTCGGGCCAGCCCAGCGACAGGGTTCGGTGTCTGCCGGTGTGTCGCCCGCCGCGACCACAGTAGCCCCTGGGCGTAAAGGGGTACTGCGGTCTTTTAGGCGTGCCGCATCTAGGGAGTGCGTGCGTGCGGAGGAAGCGGAGCACGCCCGAGGCGAGAAGGTAGAACCAGAACGAGTTGAGGACGAACGGGATCGGCATCGTCGCCCACGCGACCACAAAGTCTGCCCTCGAGAAGGCAGCGTACGAGCAGTCCGCCATCTTGTAAAACAGGTACGGCGACGGCAGGATGCGGACCACGAAGAAGGAGACGGCCCACGCGACGCCGTTGACGAGGTAGAGGCGCGAGCGCTCGTGGCCGAGCTTCAGCAGGATGATGCGCACGTGCTGCCCGATGTTTGTCACCTCGGTGCAGACAAAGAAGAGGACGACGAGCAGCGCGCGGTGCCGCAGCGTCGCGTACGGGAAGAAGAGGATGGAGAGGAGGTGGTGGCCGAGCAGCAGCGGGTGGCGGACCTGCTTGTGCGCGAGGCAAAACACCGTGTCGTACGCCATGTACCCGCACGAGAGGCCGACGGCGCGCAGCGCGAGCGGCGTCGGCGCTGCCGCCAGCGCGGTCGCGTGGTCAGAGATGGGAAGCTCCCACAGCGCCTGCACCGCGAGGAACGGCGCCGTCAGCGCCGGAAAGAGCGAGACGACCGAATTCGTGAGGAAGACGAGGTCGTCGGCGGAGCGATTGGCAGCGACGACCGGCGCGATCAGGCCTCGCCACAGCACCAACAGCACACACGACGCGGCAAAGCTCCAAGAAAAGGACTGGAAGAGGATGGTCGCCTCGTCGCCGAGCGTCTCCTGGATGTAGGGCAGCGGCAGGAGCATGCCAACCCGGCACGCGCTCCTCCCGGGACCGAGGGTTGAGCAAACCCTGGCCCCACAAAGCGCCGGCGAAACTACTCGGAAGCCGAGGAAGAAAACCCCGTTTCTGGTCGAGTTCAGGACCCCACGCGCTAGTGTGCGTGTTGGTGTCTGCAACCTCCTGGACCCCTAACAGCAAGGCGGCCGGCGGGGGGCGAAGAGGGAGGGGGGGTCTGGTCCTGTCGGCGGGAGGCTTGGTCTGCCAGCAGGCGAAGAGCACGTTGTCGGTACGCGAGAGGGGACAGTTTTTTTAGCAATACCAAACAACTCTAACACTCACACGTCATTTGGGGCCTGGAGCCCTCGTTTTGTGTAGTTTATGGTGGTTTAAAGTTTGCGGGGGGGGACAGCTTTGGGCGGTCGACTTCAATTTTGGGGGGTTTACGACGGTTTTGGGGATCCTGCCGACGCGCTACAGTTGTAGTCCCACTGCACGCAAAATGGACACCGCAACGGGAGGGCACTCGCAGCAGGCGGGGCCGAATCCTGCAGCCTTAGTCGTGGCCCGATCCGGCGGCATGCCACGGGTAGGCGCGTTGAGGCTTGCCGCCTCCTCTGCGCCAACGCGGCCTGTGCCGCAGCTTGCGTTTGCTGCCAGACAAGAGGAGGAGCAGAGCCGTTTGGCGATAGGGCCAGGCAATCGCATTCGCCCCGTGGGCGTTGCGGACTCGAGCAACACCCAGGTCGAGGTTGCTGCGCCTCTTGGCGCAGTGACGCAGCATCGCACGCTTGTTGCGGGCGATGGAGCATCGACGGCAGCTGGAATCCTGGCTCTTCCGGATGCGGGTCCGGCGGCATTTGCGGCGGGGTGCGGGCGCACCACCTCGAAACGATCGTCCGCAACAAAATAAAATGGAGCTGCACACGCCATCCTCGTCGATCTCCTTGCTGGCTTTTCGCCTCATAATCGCGAGCGGATGGTCGCGGGTCGGTTGCGAGGGGCTCAGCCTGGCTAGCCAGGTCCGCCTGGGCGCCTCCAGTCTTGCTTTTGCGGTGACCATTCTTCTTTTGGTTGGCAGAGGTGTTTGCGTGCGGTCTGTCAGTTGCTGCTGATAGCCGGTTTTCGCCTCATAATCGTGAGCGGGTGGTCGAGGGTCGGTTGCGAGGGGCTCAGCCTGGCTAGCCAGGTCCGCCTGGGCGCCTCCAGTCTTGCTTTTGCGGTGACCATTCTTCTTTTGGTTGGCAGAGGTGTTTGCGTGCGGTCTGTCAGTTGCTGCTGATAGCCGGTTTTCGCCTCATAATCGTGAGCGGGTGGTCGAGGGTCGGTTGCGAGGGGCTAAGCCTGGCTAGCCAGGTCCGCCTGGGCGCCTCCAGTCTTGCTTTTGCGGTGACCATTCTTCTTTTGGTTGGGAGAGGTGTTTGCGTGCGGTCTGTCAGTTGCTGCTGATAGCCGGTTTTCGCCTCATAATCGTGAGCGGGTGGTCGAGGGTCGGTTGCGAGGGGCTCAGCCTGGCTAGCCAGGTCCGCCTGGGCGCCTCCAGTCTTGCTTTTGCGGTGACCATTCTTCTTTTGGTTGGCAGAGGTGTTTGCGTGCGGTCTGTCAGTTGCTGCTGATAGCCGGTTTTCGCCTCATAATCGTGAGCGGGTGGTCGAGGGTCGGTTGCGAGGGGCTAAGCCTGGCTAGCCAGGTCCGCCTGGGCGCCTCCAGTCTTGCTTTTGCGGTGACCATTCTTCTTTTGGTTGGGAGAGGTGTTTGCGTGCGGTCTGTCAGTTGCTGCTGATAGCCGGTTTTCGCCTCATAATCGTGAGCGGGTGGTCGAGGGTCGGTTGCGAGGGGCTAAGCCTGGCTAGCCAGGTCCGCCTGGGCGCCTCCAGTCTTGCTTTTGCGGTGACCATTCTTCTTTTGGTTGGCAGAGGTGTTTTCGTGCGGTCTGTCAGTTGCTGCTGATAGCCGGTTTTCGACTCATAGACGTGCAGACAGGGTTGCCAGGTGAGAGCGAATGGCGCGGCTGCCCCTGCAAAATGATGTTTATGGAGGTTTAAAGTTTGCGGGGGGGGACAGCTTTGGGTGGTCGACTTCAATTTTCGGGGGTTTACGACGGTTTTGGGATCCTGCCGACGCGCTACAGTGTTAGCCCCACTGCACATAAATAAGATGGACACCTCAACGGGAGGGCCCTCGCAGCAGCCGGGGCCGACGCCTGCAGCCTTAGTCTTGGCCCGATCCGGCGGTATGCCACGGGTAGGCGCGTTGAGGCTTGCCGCCTCCTCGGCGCCAACGCGGCCTGTGCCGCAGCGTGCGATTGCTGCCAGACAAGAGGAGGAGCAGAGCCGCTTGGCGATAGGGCCAGGCAATCGCATTCGCCCCGTGGGCGTTGCGGACTCGAGCAACACCCGGGTCGAGGTTGCTGCGCCTCGTGGCGCAGTGATGCAGCAGCCCTGGCAAAATGATGTTTATGGAGGTTTAAAGTTTGCGGGGGGGGACAGCTTTGGGCGGTCGACTTCAATTTTGGGGGGTTTAGACGGTTTTGGGGATCCTGCCGACGCGCTACAGTGTTAGCCCCACTGCACATAAATAAGATGGACACCTCAACGGGAGGGCCCTCGCAGCAGCCGGGGCCGACGCCTGCAGCCTTAGTCTTGGCCCGATCCGGCGGTATGCCACGGGTAGGCGCGTTGAGGCTTGCCGCCTCCTCGGCGCCAACGCGGATTGTGCCGCAGCGCGCGATTGCTGCCAGACAAGAGGAGGAGCAGAGCCGCTTGGCGATAGGGCCAGGCAATCGCATTCGTCCCGTGGGCGTTGCGGACTCGAGCAACACTCGGGTCGAGGTTGCTGCGCCTCGTGGCGCAGTGCTGCAGCATCGCACGCTCGTTGCGGGGGATGGAGCATCGGCGGCAGCCGGAATCCTGGCTCTTCCGGATGCAGGTCCGGCGGCATTGCCCCTGCAGACTGATCTTTATGGTGGTTTAAAGTTTGGGGGGGGGGGGGGGGACAGCTTTGGACGGTCGAATTCAATTTGGGGGGGTTTGGGGATCCTGCACACAAGATGGACACCTCAACGGGAGGGCCCTCGCAGCAGCCGGGGCCGACGCCTGCAGCCTGCCTTAGTCTTGGCCCGATCCGGCGGGATGCCACGGGTAGGCGCGTTGAGGCTTGCCGCCTAGGAGGGGTGCGAAGCTGTGGCGTGGGGATACACGTTCGCTCCAGCGCCAGCCGTGCCACTGCCGCCAGAGGCCGCTGCTCGGCTGCAGGACGCGTCGCTAGCTACCGCAGCAAACGCTGCACAGAGAGCGACCTCGACTGTCGCGTGCCTCGAGGAGCTCGATCGGCAGTCCGCTGGGCCCGTGCCACACAGCTGCTCCTTCGTCGATGCCAGCAGCGGCGATGCTGATGCGGTTTGCTGCCACAATGTCGGTGGCTGCTGCACAGTTGCTCGACCAGGCGCCTTGCTCTGCGAGAGTCACGCTGAGGAGGCCTTTGCTGATATGGACCGAATGGACGACGACGTGGCGCGATGCGGCTAGGAGACGTGGCGTCACTGTCATCGGTGCGGCGCTGGCAGGGGGGCGTGGTCCGAGCTTCATTGGCGGAGACTTATCGAGCGACGCCCCTGCAAAATGATGGCCCTCTGACGCCGTGTAGCAACAACAAACAACGCGGAGACCACACGCTGATCGCGGCCACCTTCATGGCGTGTCAAGAGGTCACAGGTCAATGCTCGCGCGGGCGCTTTGCGTTACCGTGAGAGCTGTTGGCAACGGTCAGATCGACGGACGCTCAAGATTTAGAATTTTGCCCTTCGTGAAAAAGAAAATTAGTCGCGGACTTTTCCAGCTTCTTCGAGGCGTGCCGATGTATCGCGTCGGCCTCTGCCTGGCGCTGCTGCCCGCCACAGCGAGCCTGTCCGTCGCCGTGTCCCAGCAAGGCTGTGCCAGCCGTCCTCGGCTGCGGAGCCACGCGATCACCGCCAGCCTCGCAGACGAACCCGGTGCTTTGCCTCGCGCTCGGCTGGCCCTGCTCGGCACCAGTGCTTTGTGGAGCACCTATCCAACCTTTGCGAAGCTCATCTTCGCCGCCGACGGCGTCGCCCTCACGCCCACCGCAATCACCGCCGTCCGCTTCGCCATCATGGCGATAGCAGGCCAGTTCATCCTCGCCCAGCAGCCGGCGAGTAGCAGCTTAGGAGCAGCGGACAGCAACAGTGGCGGCGGTGCGAACGGGGGTGCGAACGGCAGTGGCGGCGGTGAGGGCGTCGGCTTTTGGATAGCCGCCACGGAGCTCGGCATGTGGGGCTGCGCGGGCACGCAGCTCAACTCGATGGCTCTGCTGCAGCTGTCGGCCGTGCGCGGAACGCTGCTCCTCGCCAGCGTCAACATCCTCACGCCGCTCCTCCAGGCGTGCATCGGCTCGAGCGACGAGCAGCGCCGGGTCGCCCCGCGCACCTGGGCCGCCTGCGCACTCGCCCTCGCCAGCACCGCGTTCGCAGTACAGAGCGGCGGCGCGGCGGGCGGCGCGGCGGCCTTCTCCTCGGCCGACGCGTCGATGCTCACGGCCGCCCTGTGCTACGCGCTCCAAAAGGTGCGGCTCAGCACCTTTGCCCAGACCTATCCGGCGGCCAGGCTCGCTGCGGGCCGCCTCCGGACGCAGGCCGCCGCCGCCTGCTCCTCGGAGCCTGGGGCGAACGCGACTTACTGTTGAGCAGTTCGGAGCCCAATAGGCCGCCATCGTGCTGCTCGGCCTGGGCGGCGCGGCGCTTGTGGGCGGCTTGCCAGAGGCGGCGGTGTCGGCCTCCCTCTCCTCCGTCGCGAGGTGGGCGGCGCAGCTGTCGCCGACGCAGGCCCTCCCGCCCCTCCCGGCCCTGGCAAAATGATGTTTATGGAGGGTTAAAGTTTGCGGGGGGGACAGCTTTGGGCGGTCGACTTCAATTTTGGGGGGTTTACGGCCCTGTTCACGCGCGCGCGAGACGTGCAGACAGGGTTGCCAGGTGAGAGCGAATGGCGCGGTTCACGCCTCGCACAACAGAGAGAGAGATGCGCTCTGCATGGTGGGACATAAAAGAAAGCGAGTACTTGGGCGAGCCCTGTTCACGCGCGCGCGAGACGTGCAGACAGGGTTGCCAGGTGAGAGCGAATGGCGCGGTTCACGCCTCGCACAACAGAGAGAGAGATGCGCTCTGAGGGCCCAACTTGAGAATCGTGCTGTGAGTTGGGTTGTTTCGTGTTGGGTTGGGTTGTGGTGGGGTTGGGTTGTTCCGCGTGAGGTTGGGTCGTCGGCGCGAAGGGTGAGGTCTCGACCGCCGCCGCTCACGCCAGCGGACGGCCACTGCCGGTGTTTTTGGCTTCGCCACCGTCCAAGGCGTGCGCCATGCGCTCGCCGGCATCGAGCGAGCAACGTGATCGACCGAGCGGCTTGCTGTGTGGCCGCCTTCTTGTGGCTCTCGTCGAGCGAGAGCGTTTTGCGTCCCGGCGGGTGGGAGAATGTGTGTCGTCTGAAGTGTCACTGTGTGCGTCACATCGATGTGGATAACAAGCACGGTCGATCCGTCACATCGATGTGGATAACAAGCACGGTCGATCCGTCAAAGCGATACACTCGTTCCTATCACGCTGGAAGGCTTGCACGGAGCTCTGTGCCGGCACACAGAAGAGCCGTGCGGCAAGAAGAGCTCGATGGGGAGCGAGAACCGTCAGATTTTCAGGTGTAGCCTGAAGTCCGTCGCGACGCACTCAATCCCTCCCGAGCGAAAGCCTGTGGCTCTCTCGAACTCGTCGATATATTGCGAATAAACTGCTCTTCCCGCATAGCTTGCAGAGTCAGAGGCGCAGAAAGGCTACGAGTGTTCCACGAGTCTTGCGAGCTGCGCGGTCAAACCTTGGGGGAACTGAACGCATCAAGGCGGACTTCCGAAACCTGGGTGAGCACCTCTGGCAGTTCTCGCTCCCCATCGAGCTCTTCTTGCCGCACGGCTCTTCTGTGTGCCGGCACAGAGCTCCGTGCAAGCCTTCCAGCGTGATAGGAACGAGTGTATCGCTTTGACGGATCGACCGTGCTTGTTATCCACATCGATGTGACGCACACAGTGACACATCAACGACACACATTCTCCCACCCGCCGGGACGCAAAACGCTCTCGACGAGAGCCACAAGAAGGCGGCCACACAGCAAGCCGCTCGGTCGATCACGTTGCTCGCTCGATGCCGGCGAGCGCATGGCGCACGCCTTGGACGGTGGCGAAGCCAAAAACACCGGCAGTGGCCGTCCGCTGGCGTGAGCGGCGGCGGTCGAGACCTCACCCTTCGCGCCGACGACCCAACCTCACGCGGAACAACCCAACCCAACCCAACAACCCAACCCAACCCAAAAAGCACGATTCTCAAGTTGGGCCCTCGCTCTGCATGGTGGGACATAAAAGAGAGCGAGTACTTGGGCGAGTAGGCCGTGCGGTCGACGCTGCCGCGCGCGACTTTGCGCGCGAGGCGGCGCAGCTTGAGAACGGCGGTGGGCGAGAAGCCGCCGCCGAACGTCTCGTGGAGCAGCAGGTTGAAGTTGTTGCGCTTGACAAAGATCGCGTCGTGGTAGAAACCGCGATGCGCCTTGACGTAGCCGTGGCCGTTCTTGTGGTCGAAGGGTTGGCCGGGCTGCCCGCGCGCCTTGCAGCCCATGTTTAGGCGGCGGGCCTTCTCTTCGGTGTTGCCGAAGGCGTAGGAGTGGCCAACGGAGGCGGGCGTGCCGCCGCTCGAGGCGTTGCCAACGCCCGCCGAGGAGGTCTTGAGGAGGGGCGTCCAGAGCTTGACTTCATTCACCTCATTAGAGGGGATTGTAGAGGGGATGGATGACGTACGACAGCGAGCAAATTCTTTTCCTGCCGACCCCAGGGTTCCGGCTCCTACCCAGATAGGGGGTCTGTTCCCCACGGTTAGACCCTATGCAATAGGTAGGTAGGTCCGGTTTTGACCGCCCCAGAGGGCCCCGCAATAGGTAGGTAGGTGGTGGTGTGTGTGTGTCAGGCAGGTGTGTGTGGGGGGGCGGGGGGGGGGGGGGGGGACCGCTTCGCTCGCACGGGTTAGGCTGAACAAGCTTTTCCTCTCGCACCCCGTCTCTTTTCCTTTCCTTTTTTCTCTACAGCACCCTCTTTTTCCCTCTCTGTTTTCCCGGGGAAACCATCAAATTTTCCGGGCTCTGAGCCGAGTCTGAGGCTGGTTTGGGCCCAAAATCAGCCAAATCGGCAAAATACCGGGGATTTTGCGGGTATACCTGGAAAACCCCGGGTAATACCTGGAAAATACCCTGCGACCGCCTGGGTATCGTGCCGATTTCCTCAATTTTGCCTCAGATTTTGCCCCAGACCAGCTCTCAGACTCAGGGAAACTCGCGAGTTTCCAGAATGGAGCACCAAACACCCTCTGTTTTCCCTGGAAATTTCCGGAAACGCAAAGTGCTGGGGACCCTCTGAGCTCTGTTTTCCTTTTTGTTTGCCGGAAAAGCTTGTGCAGGCCAACGCACGGGAGACGGCGCGTTTAGCCGCGAACAGGGCCGTCCGACGCCTCGCCACGGGCTCGCGAGCGGCGCGCACCGCGGTACCTGCAGGGTACAAGCCGGCTGGGAGCCTATTCACAGACAGAGGGCTAACGGGTATTTTTTCGCTTCGCTGCGCGGCCTGGGAATAGGTAGGTAGGTGGGGCACGGAGCCTGGCGATTGGCGCCCGCAATAGGTAGGTAGGTAGGGCGTTTTGGTGCGAGTCGGTGCAGACCCCCTATCTGCGTAGGAGCCCGAACCCTGTGGTGTGACGTGTGAGGCGCTGCCTGACACCACCGCACACCCCGTGCCAAGACGATGGCGACCCAGCCGTCCGAGGCGGCCGGCGGCACGTCGGCGTCCAAGCCGGCGGCGAGCAAGCCGACGGCCGGGCGGCAGCGCGGCGCTCAGGAGATGCTGACGGCGGCGGCCGTCGCCGTCGCCGCCTTCCTCATGCCGTCGGAGGACGCGAGCGCCATCTTCCGGGTGGTGTCTGCGATCCTGGCGCTGGCGGCGCTCTTCGCCGCGTCGGTGTGCCTCGAGCTCTACCAGGAGTCCAAGGCCAAGCAGGAGGCCAAGGCTGGCAAGAACATGTTTGAGGTGCAGACGATGCGGCTCGAGCTGCCGCCCAAGCCGCCGGGCGGAGTGTTTGGCGCGGCGCGCGGGATGCCCGAGCTGCTCAAGGGGTACCCGGTGACGACGGCGACCGAGGTCAAGCTGCTCGACCACGGCTTCCTCCTCACCTCCGCCACGCCGGACGGCACCCGCCGGCTGCGCGTGCGGCTGCTCGGAGGCGACGCCGTCGGCGGCCGAGAGTAGATGGAGCACGCGCGTCCGCCTCTCTCGGCCTGGCTAGGCGGGCCACGCTTTTGGGACACGCAGCGCTCCGGGCCGCGCGCCCCCCCTCTCCGCACCGCACTCTCCGACGCCCCTCGATCCGGCGCAGAGGGCTCTAGCCGCGCCGCCCCCTCTGCCCCGGTGCGCAGGTTGGGAGACGGGAGGAGAAGCGTGGGAGGAGCAGCGGAGGCGGTGGATCGAGGCGGTGCGCGCGGCGCCGCGGGTGGCCGAGGTGGCCCGCATCGGCTGGCGCGACGTTCCCTCCTTCGGCGCCGCCGCCTCGCCGCGCGCTGTCGGCGGCGGCGAGGGCGGCTGCGGCGGCGGCGAGGGCGAGCAGCTGCAGACACTTCGTAGACACTTCGTAGACACTTCGAGGACACTTCCTAGGCGAGGGCGAGCAGCGGCTGCAGACGGGGGCGGTGGTGCGGGTGGGAGGGGTGGTGTCGAAGCCGGAGCTGAACGGCAAGTTCGGGACGGTGCTGCGCGCGGCCAACGAGGCGGGTAGGCTCGGCGTGCGCTTGGAGGGCGGAAAGGAGAGCAAATCTCAACCTTTTGCCCAGCAGCCGGAGACCTCGAGCTGGTTCCTAACCAGCGGGAGGAGTGATCCGTCAGGAGCCAATCTCCCTCCACGCGAGGAACGTGTCTCCGCTCCCGCCGCTCGACACCCTCGGCGCGGAGGCGGTGGCGGCGGCGGCGTCTCTCGCCCCTCCCCTCCGGACCTTTGCTCTGCCTCTGGCCTGCAGGTGTCTCGGTGGCGGCGCTGCGCTCCTTCTCGTCGGCGCACGCGCACCTCGTCAGCGGGCTGACGGTGGCGGAGGCGAGATGCAGCCGAGAGATAGCCGAGATGCAGCCGAGAGATAGCCGAGATGTTGCCGAGAGATAGCCGAGATGTTGCCGAGAGATAGCCGAGATGCAGCCGAGAGATAGCCGAGATGTTGCCGAGAGATAGCCGAGATGCAGCCGAGAGGCAGCCGAGAGAGAGCCGAGGCGGAGCCGAGGCGGAGCCGAGGCGGAGCCGAGACCAGGCGAGGCACGCCATCGTCGAGCCGCTCACCTGCGAGTGCGGCCTCTCGCTCGCCCGCGCGCTGCACAGGCGCCACGGCCACTGCCTCCCCCGCCCAAGACGCGACCCCAGCCGACAGGCAAGCCCGGCGCGTGTGCAGGCTCGGGGCGGAGGACGAGGCGGGGCGGCCCCTCGCGGCGCCGGCGACTCTCTTCCTCATCGCCGCCGACGCGGAGCCTCTCGACGCCGTCCTCGCGGCGGCGGAGCGACACGCCGCCTCCACCGACAGCCCCGGCGACGCGGCCCCGTGGCTGGTGGTCGGGTCCCGCCTCCTCTTCTCCAGCGGCCGGCCCTTTCGTTGCGCTAGGCGACGCGTACCTGTGGCTGTCTCCGTTTTGCACAAACTTCCACGCGCCGCCCGCCGAGGCGTGGCCTCTCTCGTGGTGGCAAGGCCCGTTCCGGGAGGGCGTCAAGAGCATCGGGAAGGCGCGGCGCGCTCTGACCGAGAGCAGCGGGGGGAGGGGCGTCGGGATGAGCGCGGCGTGGGAGCGAGGAATAGGCGGCGGTGCTCTTCCAGCCGTGGGAGGAGCCGCGCGCACTCACGCACGGATGGTGCGTCTGGCAGCTGCACACCGCCCTCGCCGCCGAGGTGCGAGATATGGGGAGATATGGAGAGAGATGTGTCCACCGCCCTCGCCGCCGAGGTGGGTCCTCCCTCCTGTCCGCCCGCTCGACCAGCGCACGCTGGCGACACGTCCGAGACACGTCCGAGACACGTCCGAGACACGTCCGAGACACGTCCGAGACACGTCCGAGACACGTCCGAGACACGTCGCTGCTCAGGTGCCGCTCTCAGTGGTCTGCTCCGAGGCGGAGGCGGCGCGGCTGCGCGAGGCGCCGAGACTCGCCGAGATTCGCCGAGATTCGCCGAGATTCAGCCAGAGAGAGGGAGAGGAGAGAGAGAGAAAAAAGTCGCGGCTGCCCGCGGCGTGGCGGACGAATGCGCGTCCCTGACGCGTCCCTGACACGTCCCCACTCCTCCCAGGCGCTGCTCGGGCGGATGGACGAAGTTGTGTCGGCGTGGGACCGAAAGGCGGAGGGCGGCTGGCGCAAGGCGGAGGCACTTCCTAGACATTTCCTAGACACTTCCTAGACACTTCCTAGGCGGAGGGCGGCTGGCGCAAGGCCGAGGCGGGCTGCAGCGCAGAGGACCTCAGGGCCAAGGTCGAGCGCGGCATCGACCGCGGCTGGGAGGGCGGCGGCGACGAGTTTGGCTCGCGCCTCATCCAGGCCATCCACAAGTGGCTGCTGGGAGAGGCGCGGGGAGCAGCCACCCGCCAGCAGCCACCCGTCACCAGACACCCGTCACCAGACACCAGACACCAGACACCAGACACCAGACACCATGGCGTCTCAGCCACCAGTCAGCTAGTCCAACCTCCCCCTAACCGCAGGCGCGCGCGGCCCTCGACGAGATGCCGACAGAGGAGCGCGGCCTCTCGCGGCTGCTCGAGCGGGTCGCCTCGCTGCTGCAGGCCTGCTCGCCCGCCTCGGCTCCGTGGATGGCGGCGGGGGCACCCGCCTGGTCCGTGGAGAGGGGTCACCGCCCCTGGCCCTCGCCGCTGCAGGAGCATGGCGAGCTGGAGGCGGCCGAGCCGCTGCTGCGTGAGCAGTACGAGGCTCGCCGCGCGGCGCTCGGCCTCAAGCACGCCGACACTCTCGACGGCGTCAACAACCTGGCGCTGCTGCTGCACCAGCAAGGCAAGCTCGAGGAGGCGGAGCCGTTCTCTCGCCTGAAGCTCGAGGGCTGCCGCGAGGCGCGAGGCGACAACCACCCCGACACCGTCACCGCGCTCGACACCCTCTCGCAGCTGCTCTCCGACATCGGCCAGCCCGACGAGCGCCTCGCCACGGCCCCTCCCGGGCCTTTCCCCGTGACGCCTCTCCTCGAGCCCCTCCTCCAGGCAAGCTCGACGAGGCGCTGCCGCTAAAGCGCGAGTCCCTCGCCGTCAAGCGGCAGGCGCACCTCCCTCCCCTCGGCCGCTCCCTCCCCTCGGCCGCTCCCTCCGACAGCTCGGCCACGTCCGTGCCACGTCCATGACACGTCCATGCCATGCCCCAGGTGCTCGGCGACCGGCACCCGGACACGCTCCTCTCGGTCAACAACCTCGCGGCGCCGCCCTCTCGCCTCGGCCGCCCTCGCGAGGCTCGCCCAAGGTCGAGCCGAGGCTCGCCCGAGAGTAGGTGCTGCTCTCCGACCTCGGCCGCTCGAGCGGCAACACAAACATGTTGCGCGAGGCGGAGCCGCTCAAGCGGGAGGCGCTGGCGGGCTGCCGCGAGGTGCTTGGCAACCGGCACCCGCACACGCTCGCCTCCATCTCCAACCTCGCGGACATGCTCATGCAGCTCGGCCACCTCGACCCGCGCGCCTTCGAGGAGGCGGAGCCGCTCTGCCGCGAGGCGCGAGCCACCCCTGACCCTCCCTGACACCTCCCGGACACCTCCCGGACACCTCCCGGACACCTCCCAGACACCTCCCGGACACCTCCCAACTCACGGGGTGCAGCCGGGATGTGCCCACCTCACACGGCCAGTGCTCTCCGCGAAGTTTCCGTGAGCCTTCCGGGAGCGGTGCTGCAGGCGCTGGCTGGCTCGCGGGAGGTGCTCGGCGACGGCCACCCCGACACGCTCAAGTGCGCCGGCAACCTCGCCGCGTGCTTGGTCGACGTCTCAAAGTACATCCAGGACGAGGCGGCGCACTTGCAAGAAGCTTCTCTGAAGCTTGGTGGAGCCTTCCTGTAGGTACATCCAGGACGAGGCGGCGCACTTGCGCTGCTTGCGCGAGGCGGAGCCACTCTACGCCAACGCGGCCGCCGGCTTTGCGCGCGGGCTCGGCTCGACGCACCCGTCGACTCTCTCGTACGTCTCGGAGCGCGCGCGCGTGCTGATGGACTTGGGCCGCGCCTCCGAGGCGGAGGAGATACAGCGCGACTCCGTCTCCGCCTGCCGCGCGGCGCTGGGAGACTCGCACCCCGAGACCCTCATCGGCGCGCCGCCCTCCGCCCTCCGCCCACCCGCCAGCCGCCCTCCGCCCTCCGCCCTCCGCCCACCCGCCAGCCGCCCGCTGACCACTGCCCCCGCCCCCCCGTCGCGGCGCGGCAGGCATCACGCACCTCGCGGGCGTGCTGCGCGCGCAGGAGAAGCTCGCCGAGGCGGAGCCACTCGCGCGGGAGGCGGAGATGAGCAGAGATGCGCCGAGATGCGTTGGGACGAGCCGAGATGCGTCGAGAGGAGTCGAGAGGAGTCGAGTTGAGAACCCCCTCCCCAACTTAGACTGCGTGCGTGTAGACGCCCCCCCGCCCCCCCTCCTCCTCTCTCGCCCAGGTGCTCGCCGCGTGGCGCTCGCACGAGGCGGGCGACAAGGTGCCTCGCAACACGCTCACCTCGCTCAACATCCTCTGCGACCTTCTCCACTCGCAGGGCAAGGACGCCGAGGCGGAGCCGCTCGCGCGCGAGGCGCAGGCGGGCTTCCTCGGCGCGCTCGGCCCGCAGCACCCCTTCACGCTCTCGTCGGTCGACCTGCTCGCCGCCATCCTGGTCGGCGTCGGGCGGCGGGCGGAGGGCGAGGCGCTGGTGGCGCAGTTCAAGTTCGACGAGGAGGGCGGCATGTCGCCGGGCGGCAAGGGCGGCGGCAAGGGCGGCGGCAAGGGCGGCAAGGGGAAGGCCGCCAAGGCCAAGGGCGGCAGCAGCAGCGGGCGGGGCAGCGCCAAGAAGAGCAAGGGGAAGGCGAACGGCGGCACGGCTCTCCCGATCGAGGAGGTGGACTAGCGCGGCCGGGGCGTGGAGGCGTGGAGGCGCGTGGAGGTTGCCACGACGGCCGTTCAAGGGATCTGGGCTGAGGGACCAGCGGGCGCATCACGCGCGGCGTTCACTCTCCGTTTCTCTAGTAGCCGAACGCGCGAGATGGCCGATGGCGCGGGGCCCGACACGACCTGGATGTGTGCGTGATTTCTCTCTCTCCGACCTGTCTCATATCTCTGACTCTCTGTTGCGTGGCGCGGGATTATGATATATAAGCCACAGACAATGAGAGTATATGAAAAAGCCAGAGAGCCACCGCGAGCTGCGCTACCCTGGTCGGGGCTCGTACAGGACTGTCACCTCCCTCACATCCGCCTCCCCCTCGGCAAGCGTCGAGGCGGCTGGCTTCTGCAGCCTGACTGCGTAGGCCTGCGTGTTTTTCGGGTGGCTGTAGCCGCAAGGCAGCACTCCGAGCCTCAAGTAGTTGCCGTGCGTCACCACGGCCACCGTCGTCTCATCTCCGTGCGCCGCGTAGAGCTGCTGCACCTCGGGATGCTCCCACAGCCAGGCGACGAACGCCTCCCACTCGCCCGGGCCGACGGCGTCGTTGGAGCCGCCGACGTACGACCAGTCGAACTGCTCGTCGACGTCGAATCCAGCGCCGGCGAGGGCGGCACGCTGCTCATCGCGAGGCAGCGGGCAGGAGCCGGGGGAGAGAAAGTCAGAGTCAAAGTACTTGTGTTCGGAGAGGAACGGCGCGACCGTGACACGCGTGCCAAAGGCGACCGCCGCAGTCTCCATGGCGCGCATCAGATATGACGAGAGGACGAGGTGCGGAGCGACGCCGAGCGCTGTGAGCGCGGCTGCGGCGGCCTCCGCCTCCGCCATGCCTTTTTTGGTAAGCATCGGGTCGCGCTTCATCCGCAGAAGCACCTTATTCCACCACGGCAGCTCGTTGTTCTCGGACTGAGCGTGCCGCATGAGGATGAGGTTCATCCTCCCGCCAGAGGGCGGCAGCGCCGAGGCTCCGTCGTCGCAGAACGGACCGATGCGCTGAGCGTCGAGGACAGCGAAGAGCGCGAGCAGCATGAGGAGGAGACTTCCCCACTTGACGAGACGACGAGGCAGGGCGGTGCTGGATGTGCACGCGCCGTGACTGGAGGAGGCCTCGCGCGCCTTGTCGGCCGACTCCGGCGAGAGCAGGGATGGCGTGGGCGCGTCGATCATCTCCCTCGCGAAAACAGAAGAGTGCGCGTGAATATACCCGGGTACGACACGACGCGCCCCCGCACACATGCTCTCACACCCCGCCGCACACCGCGCGGGCTGATCGACTCCAACAAGCTCCTCACTTTCTTCGATTAGTGCAGCTGAGCCACTAAACGGCCCGCTGTCAGAGCCCCCCGATACCTCACTGCCCCGGCGCCCACGCCTCGATCTTCTTGGGCAGCAGCTGGTCCGACAGGTCCTCCCCGTGGCCAAGGCAGCCGCTTTCACCCTTGCCCCAGGTGAACACGGCGCCGTCGGCGGTGCTGGCGATGCTGTGCCCGCCTCCAGCCGACAGGGTGACGACGCGCCGCCCCGCCAACGCCTCGATCTTTTTGGGCAATAGCTGGTTCTGCCCGTCGCCGTGGCCCAGCCGGCCCCAGGCTCCATTGCCCCAGCTCCAGAGGGCGCCGCCGGCGGTGAGGGCGCCGCTGTGGTACAGCCCAGCCGAGACCGCGACGACGCGCTGTCCAGCAAAGGCCTCGATCTTCTTCGGCAGCAGCAGCTGGTTCTGCTCGTCGCCGTGGCCCAGCCGGCCAGAGGCTCCCCAGCCCCAGCTCCAGACGCTGCCGTCGGCGGTGAGGGCGAGGCTGTGGGCTGCTCCAGCCGACACGGCGACGACGTGCGGCCCAACAAAGGCCTCGACTTTCTTCGGCAGCAGCTGGTCCTGCTCGTCGCCGTGGCCCAACCGGCCAGAGTCTCCATAGCCCCAGCTCCAGAGGGCGCCGTCGGCGGTGATGGCGAGGCTGTGGGCTGCTCCAGCCGACACGGCGACGACGCGCAGCCCAGCAAAGGCCTCGATCTGCTTCGGCAGCAGCTGGATCTGCTGGTCGCCGTGGCCCAGCTGGCCGTGGTATCCAAAGCCCCAGCTCCAGACAGCACCGTCCGCGATGATGGCGAGGCTGTGGTACTCTCCAGCCGACACGGCGACGACGCGCTGTCCAGCAAAGGCCTCTTTCTTCTTGGCCAGCAGCTGGTTCTGCTCGTCGCCGTGACCCAACTGGCCAACGTCTCCACCGCCCCAGCTCCAGACGGCTCCGTCAGCGGTGGTGGCGAGGCTGTGAGACATTCCAGCCGACACGCTCACGGCATGCTCCCCGCCCAGCGGAGAAGGGAGGCGGGTCGGCGTCTTGAGCTGCGTCACGCCCTCGCCGTGACCGAGGAGGCCTGGCTGCCAATGCGCAGCCGAGCCGCACGACGAGAGCCGCCCCTCGCCGTCGATGAAGACGCTGTGCCGTTCGCCCGCCGCCGCCCTCGCCGGCGGGTTGGCCTCGCGCAGCAGCGCAGCGAAGCACAGCCACCGCACGGCGCAGCCCTCGCCCTCTGGCTGCGCCGGCAGCTCGAAGCCGCGCTCTTGCGCCCACAAGCGGATGGCCTCTACCGCGAGCGAGGCGTAAAAGAGCAGCGAGACGGCCGCGACGCGAGCGATGTTGGCGGGGTCGCAGCGAGAGAGGGCGCGCACGAGGAGCTCCGTGGGGAGGTCGAGGAGGCGGGCGGGCGGCGGCGTCTCTGGCGGGGGAACGGCGGTGGCGGCGGGGGCGAGGCGGCTCGAGCGGCGGCGCGGCAGGGTGGACATCATCAGGAAAAGAATTTCGAGCGGTACAGGCCGACTTTTTAATTCTTTCCGTATAATATTTAAAGTTTGTACTTGTACTTGTAGCCTGCTCGCTTGGTGCGAAAGAACGATGCGCCTTAGCGCCCAAGTTTCAGGCCGATCCTCCTCGAGAGGTACCCTCAGCCTTGTGCTGTATGGGTACAGTATCCGTGGTGATCTCTTCATTCCATGCTCCGACGAAGTGCGTGATGAAACAGCTGGAGACTCTGTGTGGCTGTGAGCTTGTCGCCGAACTACGATTGAATGTTTTTGCGGGGGATGATTTGGTGGAACGTGTGGGCGCGGCCGGAGCACCGCTGCTCAGGTGCACCGTGCACTATGATAAAGTTGAAAATCGGCTCTCAGAGCGCTTTTCTCCGCGCGCCTTTGCGACAGAAGCGGTATTCTCTGTCGATGTGGACACATTCTATTCGT